ATGATTCGCGACTCTGAGGCGCACGCGGAGTCAGACCGCCTGAAGCGCGAGTTGGTGGAGGTGCGCAACAACGCCGAGACGCAGGCAAACACGGCAGAGCGCCAGCTGACAGAGTGGAAGTACGTGAGCGATGCGGAGAAGGAGAACGTGCGCACGCTGCTTGCGGAGCTCCGCAAGGCCATGGAGAATCCCAACGTGACGAAGGACGAGCTCTCGGCGGAAACCGACAAGCTGCAGAAGGCGGTTATGGAGTGCGGCCGCACTGAATATCAGCAGGCTGCGGCGGCCAACAGCAGCAGCTCCAGCAGCGGCTCCAGCAGCAACACAGACAGCAATCAGGGCGACCAGCAGCAACAGCAACAACAGGGCGATCAGCAGAAGAAGTAAGGATTATCTTTTGCTGTAACTTTGTGCAATGATTACCATATTGTTGTGTGTGTCGTAGTTTGTTTGGTCAATAGTTAGCTTTTATGCCTGCTTCATTTTGGTTGCTTGTTATTATCACATTTCATTTCTGCACTTGTTTTTAAGGGGAGGAGATGGTCATTTTCTCTCTCTTCCGGTGCGTGTTTGTTTTTTTTTCTTCTGTTGTTGTAGTTGATGGTGGTTCCCCGTACTTGACGTAAACATGAGGAGGAAGAGACGTAACTGAAGGAGAGATGTGCGGTGATTCCGAGACAAAATACAAACAAAAACAATAAAAAAAACGACAGCGACAATAATAAAAAAAGAAGAAACAAAGTAAGTGAAAAATTCAAAAAAAAAAAGAATGAAGTAGCGCAAAAAGAAAAGTTGGTGTTGCTGAAGGTATTAGCATGTTTTTGTTACGTGTATCTTTCCACTCCACTTTGTTGTGTGTGCGTGGTTATCCCTGCTTTTTTATTATTATTTTTGTTGCGGAGGAATGGTGGAGGAAATTAGCGAGAAAGGGAGTAGTCAAGAGCGGGGCGCGATGGCTGACGCATGCGCTTTCTGTTGTCTCTAATGCGTAATGATCCCCAAAAAGATAAGTGATATATTAGGACGCAAAAGAAGCACTGTCATATATCTTTTAGTTGTTTATTAAGAAATAAAATTTGTTTTACTATTTGTCTAAGACGTGAGCATAATCAAATGTCTCTTACTTTTTTTTGTTTTTGTTTTTTGTGAGGGCAGGTGGCATCCTTGTTTTTGTCAGCTGCACGAACGCATGTTAGTGCGTTTTGTGTGTGTGTGTGTTTGCGTGTTGCCTTCTTTGCACCTGCGATGCTTATCTGCCTTCTCTCTTTTTTTTTCTTGCGTAGCTTATAACTGCATTTATAGGATGGCACCGAAGAAGGCACGGTTTAAGCCACCCATTCGGCCGAATGCGGATGGAACGGGCTTTGTACGGGTGTCGGCAGGTGACACGGGAAAAAAGTCGCCGAAGGAGCTAGGAGGCCAGAGACATCCGGATTCGAATCTGCTTCATTCATCGTTGGATTTCTACGCTTCACCGCGTATGGGGCAGAGTGACACGTCAGCTGTCGAACTATCCTTGCAGATACGCTCTAATAGTTCTTTGCCCTCCAACGAGGCGCGACTCTCCCCATCATCTTTTCGGGCTTTAGGAATTGTAAGTGGAGCCGTGCTGCGTATTGTTGAGGGTCATTTTGAGGCCTACGCCGAGGCGTTTCTTTCATCTGTGTGTCACTCACAAACCGTTGAACTCGCCGATGAGGTCGCTGCAGCTTTTATTGATAAGCAGGTGAATGTGTCTGTGGTGACAAACCCTTTTCCCTCGGTACCGCTTGCTATTGTAGTTTTGGAGATAAACTGTGATTCACGTGATGGAGTGCAGGCGGGGGAGACAGTGAAAATTCCATTTTTGCAGGTACGTGCTGCTTTTAGGCGCCAGTACAGGTGCCGACTGGTGTACAGAGGGATGCGAGTTGTTGTGCGTGTTGCGACGCAGCCTTTTTACGTTGAGGTGGTTAAATGTGTACAGCGTGATGCAGCTGTGATGGATAAAGAAAAATTAAACGAGGTTCAGGTTAGGCTAGGTCTCTTGGGCGATTGCACGATAATACGCGACGGTGGTCGTGAAATTCCCATTGAGAATGAGTACTCTGAAAACTCTCAGGGTTCTTTAAAAGATAAAGAGGCGTTGCAACATGTGCTTGTGGTAGGTGAATCAGGCACTGGTAAGAGTCGTTTTCTTCATCAAGAGGGTAGGGAGGCCACCACGGTGCATTGGCGCCATGTCGAGACGATTTTGGTTCAGGAGCTCCCGCAAGGAGAGATGAGTGATTTGTCCACATCTACGGTCTTGCGTGAGGCTTTTGCGCGTGCTAAGGTCGCTGCACCCTCAACAGTATTAATTGATGATCTTCACCTTATATGTGGGACCAGCAGCAGCTCAACAGCCGGGTCTTTGTGGGCGGCAACGCTTGTAGCGGGGGCCTTGAAGGAGGAGCTTGATGACATTTGGGCGCGTCAGCTTGACGTTCGTGTCATTGCCTCCGCCGCATCAGCGGAGTCTGTGGATCGCTCTTTACTGACAACTGAGCGGTTTGGTAAACGTGTGACGCTGCTTACGCCTGGGTCATCTGAGGAGCGTTGTGCGTGCCTAAGAACATGCTTAGAGGAGCGTGACGGACTGCATAATATCTCAGAGGAGGCCTTGGTAACGGTCGCACAGGAAGCGCATGGTTTCACGCAGTGTGACCTCGCCCGTCTGGCGGAGGTGGCGATGGTGGAGAGTTTCAAAATGACAGGGAACGTAATTCCCTCTGATGACGCTCTCTTGGCGGCGGCAAAGTTGGTACGACCCTCCGCTCTAAAGCAGTTTGAGGTGTCGGTGCCGAATGTTACCTGGAATGACATTGGTGGGAGTGAGGAGGCGAAAAAGATTTTGCAGGATTGTGTTGCATGGTGTCTTGGAAAGCGGCAGTGGATATTTCGAAAGTTCAAACTGACACCGCCAAGAGGTGTCCTTCTTTACGGTCCCCCGGGGTGTAGCAAGACGATGCTGGCCAAGGCCCTTGCCAATGAATCCAAAATGAATTTTATCTCCGTCAAGGGACCTGAGGTGTTTTCAAAGTGGGTTGGAGATAGTGAAAAGGCGGTACGAGATATTTTTACACGTGCACGTGTGGTGGCTCCATGTGTGGTTTTTATTGATGAACTTGACGGCATGTGTGGGCACCGAGGACGTGGTGGAGTCTCAGATCGCGTCATTTCACAATTTTTGACCGAATTGGACGGACTCCCTGCCGCACTGGACGACAATTCGGACGCGCTTGTTTTCGTGGCGGCAACGAATCGTCCTGACAATATCGACACGGCTGTGCTACGGCCTGGACGTATTGATCGCAAGGTCTACGTGGGGTTGCCGGATGTCTCTGAACGTCGGGCAATTGTTGGTATCCATTTCTCCCGCATTCCTGTTGCACCGGATCTTGATGCAGACTATGTGGCCAAGAGAACGGAGGGGTATAGTGGCGCTGAGGTTGTTGCGGTGGTGAAGGAGGCCGCCTTTCTTCGAGTGACGCTGGATGTGAAAGCTGCACACGTCACCCGTGATGATGTTGATGCCGCCCTGCAGAAAGTGAGGCCACGTATTAGTCCAAGCGATGTGGCGTGGTATAGGCAATGGTCGTTGGGTGGGCTGATGAATGCTCGATAGTGTTGCGAGGTGCGCGTGGAATTAGTTACGTTTAAATATGAGAATGAAGGGGGTAGCACACAAGCATGCAAAATATTTTTTTTATTTTTTGCTGCTGGAGATGAGTCTAATGTGTCCCTTTTTTCTTTTGGTTTTCAGCCAAAAAATAATAAGAAGTAAAATGAAATTGAGGCGAATGGTCCTTGAGAGGAGCAGTGGGTTGCTGAAGTTATTCCTGCTGGGAGGAGAAGTGCATTTTGTGTTTGTTGTTCTTGTTCTCTCTGTGAGAGGAGTTGTGGTACCATCGGCACTGTATTTTTTTCTCGATATAGCATTGTTTTTGTTTTTTTACATGAAACTGTCTTTGCCATTTCTGCATTCTCGTTGGTGTTGTTTATGTGCCTGTGTGGAGTAATCGAGGAGTCCCTTCCGCCTTCGCTTTGCTTTGCGTATGCGTGTATATGGGTGTCACCGCCGGGTCTCCCCACACACAAATTTGCAGCTATCCACAGCTGACTCTAAGCGAGGATCGAAAGGTTTAAGGGGAGAAAAAGAACTAAGCGAGAGGGGACTTAAGGCGGTGTGAGTGTGAGATCAAAGGCTCTGCAGGAACGTTTTTATTTGGTTGCTTGCTTGAATGTCCTACACGGAAGAGGATTATTACGACGACGCGGAGTACACGGTGGAATACGACCACAACTACAACGATCAATGGGCTTTGGTGTCATCTTCAGAGGCCGAGTGTCCATTAGCGGATATCCGCGCAAATACGAGGCTTTTTACTACCTTGTCCACAAGTGAAGTTTTAGAGGGTCTACAAAGAGATGTTGGGAAGGCAAATGAGATTCTTGGTCTTACGCCAGAGGCTGCACTTCTCGTTTTGCGCCATTACGGCTGGAAGATGGATGACGCTACGCTTGAGAGATATTTTGCTGAAATGGATGACGTCAATGAAAAGCTTAGGATTACAGAGGCAGCTTTTAGTGGTGATGGCACTGGCTCTGAGTTGGTGCGGAATGACCGGTCGATGGAGTGCCCCATATGCGGTGATGATGTTTCCGCAGAGAAGACAGTGGCTTTGGCAAATTGCCGTCATTTTGTGTGTGTTGATTGCCTGACCACAAATCTTCTTTGCGCTGTCAAGCATGGTCATGACCTGCTTGATAGACGGTGCCCAATGCGAGGATGCTGTAGTCTTGTGGGGTTGAAGGTCTTTAAGGAGCTTTTACCAACGAAAGAGTATAGACGGGTTCAGCGGCGTTTTCTTAATGATTATCTTGGTGGCAATACTCATATGCGCTGCTGCCCAAACGAGACACCTTGTGAGGGGGTGATACGCGTTGCCGTCCGACAAGAGTCTGGTCCAGAGGTCCGCTGTGATGTGTGTTCCCTAGAGTTTTGTTTTACATGTCTTCAGCCCCCTCACCCTCCGGCAACATGTGAAATGATGCGAAGCTGGGCGAAGCTGTTGCAAGAGAACGAACCCTCGCTAGCACTTATTCAAGAAACGACGAAAGGGTGTCCAAAATGTTCGGTGCGTGTGGAAAAAAATATGGGTTGCAATCACATGAAATGTATATGCTGCCAGTATGAGTACTGTTGGGTCTGCTTAGGCCCATGGCTCAACCACAACGCCAGCTTCTACGAGTGCAACAAAGTAAGGATGGGTGAAACTAAGAACGAAAAAAACATGCTTCTCGAGTGCTTTGAACGGTGGGACAATCACAAGCGCAGTATTGCGCTGGAGACAAAGTCGCTACAGGAGATATTTGAGAAGATACGAAAACTTACGCAAAACAACAAAGAGACCTCAACATTGGACAAGACGTTGTCGCTTTTATACCACACACAGCGTGTATTACATGATTGTCGTGTTGTACTCATGAATGCATATATTGCACTCTTCTTTGGTGGGATGGCGGGCTCATCTCTGCAGTATCGTATCCAGCAGCTGGAGTTGCGGATAGAAGAGACTAGCAGACTTATCGATGCCCCACCAGAGAATCTTGATGTCGATGAAATTGAGTCTCGTAGTCATCAAGCAATTCATTGGTGCAACGTTTTGCGGAAAGAGGGATCTGATTGATTTTTCTTGTTGCAGTTGCTCTTATCATTTTTTTGTTTTGTTTTTCCTTTTTTTTTTCTTTGTTTGGTTTTCTCGTTGTGTGTGAATGTTCATGCGTTGCTTCCTTTTTATTGTGCGGCTTTCTCGTGGTGGAGTGTGTTGTCTGATACACCTGCCGCAATTAAGGGGGAGTTGCACGTTGTTGCATTGAAGAACTGGTGTAAAAATTAATTGACAGCGTGTTGGCTTGGTTGTTTGTTCTCGTTACTACTATGACTGTGATTGCTTCTGTCTCATATCTCTTTTTGTTTTTGTTTTTCTATCACGTGGTGTAGGTGTCGCAGCCAAGCGGAATCGGAGAGGCCACTACGAAGAGGGAGCTCAGTGCTAAGCTGAGGCGGTGCTCGTTCATTTCATGTGTTTGGGAGGAGGGGCAACATGTCGTGTGTTGAACTGCCACCAGAGGGGTTGTTGCGGTGGAATTAGCCCCAACAGAATGTGGGAGGCCACTCTAGGTTTAAACTTATCGTGCACACAACGATTTGTGCCGTCCTTTTTGCTATTCCCTTCTCCTTCTGCGTCTCGATTCCTTCCTCCCCGCTCTTGAAACTCTCGCAGGCGCAGGACACGAAGAAGTCGCTCATCATGCGGGGGATGAACGACTTCTTCTATGTGAACTTTATTGCTAGTTGGTGTGCCTACTATTTTATTATGGAACCATGTATCACGAGCGAGAGGGCGAAGAAGGGGTTTATGCCGTACCTCCTCGGTCCTCTCACAGCACAGGTGCCAGCGTTGTCGTGTCTGTTTTTTTTCTCATCTCTTTTATCCGGGAATGTGGGCAGTGTTTAACGAGGGAACACGGCGCGAGCGCCGGAGGGAGTTTGTTCGTCTTAACACAAAATGCTTTCTCGCAGACGCGCCTATTCATATACCCGCTGCGGTTGCTGTTGGCGCCGGCGTGGGCGTTGTACTTTACCCGTTTAATTTTCTTTAAAAAAGTAGTTGCCGGATGCGCTTGATGTCTCCAGTCGCCTCAGTGAAATGACCGGGTGATGACGGAAAGTCGACGCACGTACGCAACCGCGCCAGTCCTTTTGTTTTCGAACGGCCCTCTTTACTCATTACCACCATCACAAAACACAAAAAAAAAGTGGAAAAGGGCTGCAAACATGAAATTTTAAGCCCAGAAACTGAAACAAGTCGCCGATGGAAAAAAAAAAAGAAGTATGTTTGGAAAGTATTACGGGTCTGAAACGGCTTATCATTCCGATTGCCGTGTGCATTTAGTCTTTTTTTTTTCTGTTATTCGTGTGGATGTCGTGCTGGTGCTATTGCTGTTGTTGTTTTCTGCCCTGCCCCCAATTTTTATCGTTTATGTTTTTTTGTTGTTGTTTTTTGTTCTATTTTATTAATTTTTATTTATTGAGGGTGTGGAGAAGAAGGCGAGAAAAAGCGATAATATTTGAGGTGCAGTGTGTGGTGTGGCGGCCATGGTGGAGAATGATGGCGTCAGCTGCCGGTTTGAGGTTCAGGGCCGTATCTCCTCCATGACGTACAGCGATGCCAGCAATGCGTGTCTTGTAAGCACCATCATGAACGGAACTCATATTTTTAATATGGGCGATTCATCTGGTGTGTCCCCACAGTTTGCAGCTCGACTAGAGAGTTTTCCACACAACATCGTTGGCGGTGATCCCATTATTTCTTCCTGTTTTTTATCTTCCGACTCGTGCCTGGCCGTTGGGTCATCAGTGGGGGGGATTGCAGTCGTCTCACGTCAATCTAGATCGGTGGTCAAGTGCTACACCTTTCAGGACGAAGCACCTGTGTTATCATTAAAGGAGGTGCCGCAGGAGCCCTCCCTGTTGTTAAGTGCATCACCCGTGGGAGTACAGGTAATAGACGTGGAACGGGCCGCAGTGCGGCTGAGCCTCGCCATTTTAAAACCGCGCGTAATTGGAGCTGTGGCGACCAGTAGAAACAATTTTGCTGTGGCGAATTATGATGGCAAAGTAATGTTATATGACGTGCGCTGTGGGTGTGACCCAGTGACAGTACTTGCCGTACCGGACCAAATTACTAGCATTACAGTATCACCAGATTCCTCTGCCTTAGTTGCGGGGACAGTAGGAGGTCGTGTGTTTGTCATGCGTTGTCTAGTGAGCAAAGTACGGGAGGAGGCGTTTGGCACAGGCAAGACACGCTCTCCCATCCGCTGTGTTGCAATGCATCATGGTTGCATAGCTGCTGGTGATAATTCCGCTAAAATTACACTCCTTGATTCTGGGGACTGCCCGGCAGCAACAACATACTGGACACCACAGTCCCTGCTACCACATCTTGCGGCTGCCTCTCCTGCAATGGTCTCGTCATGGTCTGCCTCCTCCGTGTTGCTTCGTAAAGACTCTTTGTGGGGAGCACTGACGTCGTCAGAAAGTGCAACATCTCATGTGGTGATGCTGTCGCTGTGATTTGTCACGGCGGGTCATCCTCCAGCCATTTGTTAGACGTGTTTGTTTGTTTTTTTTTCGTTTTTGTTTATGTGTGTTTTTTATTATTATTACTTCTTGTTGTGTTACTTTCATGTGTTTGTGTGTGGCTTAGAGACAACGCCACCCTCCATGACTTGCGCATCTGCATGAACCCATAGATCCGTATATCCCTGTTGTATGGGGCTCCTAGTAGAAACACCGAACAGATGCGGTGGGCTTTTTTTACTTGGTCTTTACCTGCTCCATCGCTCTTTTCCCCCTGACGACACATTTGGTTAGGTATACCTTTCTGCTTGTATATTTCTGCGAGATGCCTTGGTCTGCTTCTTTGTGACTCCTCGCACGCAATGGCCTAACCCCTGTCACTTCACCCTCTCTTTCTCTCACACACACTTTCTCTAACTCTCTTTTTCACTCACGCATATATTTTTTCTTGCTTTTTTCAAGTTTCACGAAGAAAAGACGAGATGCGCTTCTTTTCGTCGTGGAAGGTCATTGCAACGACATAATGTCATTGCCGCTCCATCGACTTTTGCCGCCCCATTGCCCTCTGCGTGAGTGACATTCCGCAAAACATGGCTTGGGCTCATTAACCTTAGGCCTCCTTAACGTGCTGTGCACTTGTGGGTAAATTGAGCCGGATTTGGGCTTCGGAAAGCAATGTTTCTACCCTCTCTACCATTATCGGTGGGGAGGCGTACTGGGGGCGCGTGCTGCAGCTGTACCATGAAGGAATATCTCCCTACGTGGATGTTGTGGAAATGAAGAAACATATTTTAGTGCAGTCTTTGTAGGAGGTGCCCGACAGGCTGCGAGTGGTATGCACCGCATTGCTAACGAAACTAAAACTACAAAAGAAAAAAAAAGGATGAACAGCTTTGCTGCCTCGTGCCGGCGAGGAAGCGGCACCCCAACAAGAAACTCAAGCAAAAACATGCAGGTGACAATGCCAATATCCACCAAACATTACGAAGGAAGTGGACCTGTTACGACTTCTCCCCTCATCAAACTCCCTTTATGGTCACCACCGAGTAGTTGAAATGTTTTGTATTGTGTGCCGTTTTTGGATGGACGGCGTCTCTAAAAGCCCGTGAAAGACACTCCACTTCTTGTGTCAGGAGTGTCACCCCACGGACCCATGTTTTTAATTTTTAT